AATCTGCGATACAAGATATATGCTACAGCAAATGCTGTAAATCTATTAACTGATCAATAATCTGCGAAGAATACAATCTCAAAATTAAAATGCAAGTTATCATATCATTTGCTGATCTGTAACGCTTAAGCACTAGCAAGCGATGAAACAAGAGTGCTTCAAATTGGAAGTCCAGCATAACTGACATTTTTTAAATGAGAAAATTTCTGGTAGATTTGTGATTGATATCACGTAGGCAAGGATGTGTTATACTACCCGTAATTGTGTTCATCATAGAGTATTAAATCAATTCATAATCTATGATACTGTTCGAAACTTACATATGCTGCCTAACTCATATAACAAAAAAAAACCTCAGAAGATTGACTACAAAAATTATGAAATACGCACGCTTTTTTACTAAACAATGTAAGCATAATTGTCTTAGGTTTAAAATATAATTTTAACAATTAAAAAATAAAATATTAAATATGATACCTCTAAGTGCGGAAGAATAAAGATAGAAATCATTTGAGCGTTAAATTATAGAAGAAGAAATCGAATAAAATGAATGGTTTTTGTCGAGACTCTCAAGATGTAGCAACTATAAGTAATGTCGTAGTCAAGTTGCGGTTGAAAAATTGAATACAAAGTTATGGTCAATTGGCTTGTAACTCAGCCCCTGTTAACTAGCATCTAAATATATTAGGAAAAATGTAACTCTACGGTCTAAAAAACTAGACAACTAAGCCATAACAATATCGTATTTTGGCGTAGTTATCGAAATGGTGTAAATTTACTGTACAACTTTAGATCGGACGAGTTCTATATATAATAATTAATGAAATGCAAAGGATAGTATTTCATACTATTTATATTAAACTAGTGCAAACTCCCGTCGCTTTACTGACGGTTTACGATAATGTGCTCATTTAACAGATAGTATTACCATTTGATAGACCTGTTAAACTCTAAAATAATGTTTCGAAATCATATCCAGCATCTTTAAATAATATCCAATATCCATCAGCAATTACTATTGTATCAATGCCTAATATTAGCATACTCACATCTGAAGAAGAAATCTCCCAACACTATTAACATCCAGGATTTGATCTGCAGAAGATTGCAGGCAGTTAAATGCCATGACTTTTTACATACAAATCAGAAAAATTAACTTGATCAATGGCTAAGTTCGAACTCGACAGAAACGGTACGAAGGTTTTTCTAACATCCTATCCTCCGAAAATTAAATATAGCAACAATTTATTAAGTGTATGAAATACGATACCTCGTCTATTGCTTTAAATTGGTACAGTTCCTGTTTAATTTACAAGATGTACTTGAATTTTATTGAAATGCAGGAAGAATCTCAAGACTTTATCTTTACATATTAAGGCCAAGCTTATTTTATTTTTGTCTATAAAGTACCCATAATTATTTAAAAATTGGTACAAGATGTTGTGGATGCTTGATACTTACACATTTATCCATTTAATAATCCATTTAATCTATCTCCAACAATAATTTATGCCAATATTTCCACTTGTGATAGTCACGTGCTAAGCAATTAACAAATTTGTTACTTGGCTTTCCCACTGTGCTATCGTATAGATGTATTGGAATAGGTGAAATTAATTTCAACCTTTAATGTGATGTACCGTACTTATTTGAGCTCTCTTGTTTGGATATGCTGATTTGACCCTTTATTATTCACCCGTGACTTACCTTAGTTTTCTTTCAAAATATTAATCTTAAAACACTATTTCTAGTAGCAGACTGTGAAGAAATTGGATATCAATGGGACTCTAGCCCTCATGTAACATCGATTTATGTCTCCTTAATTTGATATACTTGAAAAATAACATTGTAGTCTAAGGTATGAGTCATGGAATCAATTTAATAGTAAAGTATATTTGTTCATAATAATATTTTATATTAGCTGATCTAACCTAACATTAAGTCTAGACCTATTAATTAGCCAATCAACAACCTATTCAGGTTATTGAAGGGCTACTTACCACGATGGCGAATTGACATCAGTTTTCTTATTTATTCCAATATAATATAACACATCTTACTCAGAGATAGTTATTTAACGTCTTTGTGATTGAAAATTGTATTGATAATCATTCATGGGAACTGAGCTAAATATCATCATTTTCTTAAAATAGAACGGGATCATTTGGATGTAATTCATTATATCTTACTATGCAAAGCTATTCAACTCTGTTTAAATATGAACAATCATTTCCTTAGTATTGAGCTTTATAATATTGTTATTTATTAGGCCTTGATTTCGCTTGGAAGTTTAATATGTCAAATTTTTCGTCCTATACCTCTAGGAATAACTTCTGAATAAATAATCTCTCACAATTTGATGATTCATCTCATCCCATCAATCTTAGTACACAGTATGCGATCTATTTTATTAATGCTAGTCTAAACAGGCTCCAGTATGAAAGGCATGGCTAAACATACGTACAGTGCACTACATATATTCGGGGAAATTTTAGAAATAATTATACCCAGCCACTAGTTCAGTGGTAGAAGCGTGTCATGAACATGGTCAGAATCTATTTATTTACGTAGTCGATTTGCAGAATATCTTAAATTCATCATAAATTTTCTTTAGTTATAAAAATTAGCTGATTTCAACACAATAGGGTTAAAATAAACTATGGATTCCAGTGCAATCTCCAGGTTGGCTACGAAGTAATATAAAAATAAATAAATTACTGAAGCTACGAAAACTAGGACTGCAAATAAAACGTTCGGAAACAGTCGGCACTAAAATAATAACATTTTTGCGCATGATCTGAATAAATAAAACCAAATTTGGTATATTAATCTGTTTAGGCTCTTACGATTAGCAGTTTCAATAATTGACTGTTAGTTTTGGGTGATAGCAAAAAACAATCGCAAGATGATTAACTAAAAGCTAAGCAGGTCTAGGAAAATTCACCATGCAAGTCAAAAGTCTACTGGCGATTGCTACCGCCTTTTATATAACTGCTTGTTCAGTTCAAGGTAATTCTTAGCAACAGTAATAAATAGCTAATTCAGTTTCGTCAATTAGTATTTAACATGGCAATTATTTTGGCTATTTTTACGATAGTGTATTTAATAAATATGAGAAATAAAATTGCTATTACTGATAACAGACGAAATAAGATACCGAAATAAGTCCTTAACAAATTAGTCTCGATGATATAAAATACTGAAAATAATAAATAGAATATCGTCTTGCATTGATATCTAATAATAAGGCTAAGAGTAATATCGTTGTGGAATAGCAAAGGTCGAATTGATTATTGTCTTCGGATGTAAATTTATTTTACTACTTATTTTTTAAATCTTCAATTTTTGCCTATTCCTTGTTGTGATTATGAATATTGAAACGAATATCATGGCTAGTTGTATCATTGGAGCTAAATCAGCGTAAGTTAAATCTAAGATATGATCTTACTGTGTGTCAACTTTATGAATAGAATTCGCCCTCTAATCAATGTTAAATAAATACAAGATGTAAATTTTACATTATTACTCCAATGTAAATCCTTATCTACGCTATTTAGTAATTGAAATGAGTAATTAATTATAATATTCGAAATTTGTGAAATTTAAATTACTGGATTAAAAATACAAAGTATCGCTTATTATTTTGATCGCAGGCTCGTCTATTCTTCTTTAAATTAGTTAATAGAATTTTTTTTCCGATCTAACTTTTTAGGTATACTAGATGTGTTTATTAATATTTAAGTAATATGAAATTTTTTATAATGTCCATTTTGTTTAGTAGATTTGATTATTTTTGCTTTATCTACGAGCTATAGTAATGCAACTACAAGTCAGCGAATTATATGCGAATCTCTCGCGATCACTTTTCCTTCTCACGCATACATGTTAAAGATATTAGCTTGCCTTTAGTGTGTTTCTACTACAAGATCGAAGATATGATGCTCTACTTTATAAGATTTTGAGTAGTTTCCTCAATCGTTCTGCTGTTAGGTATACTTTAAAACCTTGAGATCAGTTGTAACCTTGAATCACAGTGATAAAAGTCTTCTTTCGTAAGACAAGTAAGATAGAGAAATTAAAATACAGCAATCAAAATTAAGTATAGCTTAGGTTCACTAATTCATAAAATAGGCAGCCGTACTTCCATATCTGGCATGGCTTCGATTCTACCTTTTACTAATTTACATCCGTGATTGTTCTTCGATTTCTAGCTAAAACTTGTTTTATTTCAGCGTATTATTCCTACTTGATCATAAATACTGTCCTCTTATTGCATATAATAAGGCTGACCGTTGTGCTTGATCACTAATATTATAGCCTGCATAGCCAGAGATTAATCCTAGGACCTTTAGGAATTTTCTTTTATAACGTCCATGATTAATCACTAGTATACACGTTCTATCCCCTCTTACCAAGAAGTGTTCAGGCTTCATTTTCTTGCGACATAACAAGGACATTACTGTACTTGAGTTACTACTTGGTATTGGGTAGCTTTAATAATAATATGAGCCTAATTATCTAATCAGTAATACCAACATCCTATTTATTTATTTTCCGGAATAAGATTAATTTCAGGCGATTGCTCATCATCTGCAATTGGTACTTCTTCAACGATGCTATCTCATTATTTGCGTAATTATTCACCTGCATCTCGTCTATGCTATCTTCTTATTCTTGATGCAGAAGATAGAGTAGTTGCTACTTATTTATTGCCACCTTTTCATCGCTCGCTATTTAATGACGTTTTTTTATCCTATAAATCAGTATGAATATCTACCAATGTTACATCTAGTTTGTAAAAGATATAAAAGTATTTACATTAAGTGTCAAACGGCATTATAGATCATCATAAATAATATGGAATGATACATAGTAATGATAGGAGTGAAAGTATAATTATATTTAATGCAACAGCGCTGCTTGTCAACTAATACGTATAATAAGGAGTATCGATAACTTTTATCTGTAAAATTTATTTTTTTAATAATATTGCTACTGATATGGGAATCTCAGTCCTTTCAGGGTATAAAGTTGGCTGGGGATATAAATTTTCCTATCAAGGTTATGTTTCCAAGTCAGTTTTAAATCCTCATGGCCACCGATATACTTCAGAAATTCGATTTATCTCTAAAGTCGATCTTGAAATCTTTCGACATGATATCGTCAAATTGAAGGTACCGGTATTCAGTCAATCCAAATTAATAAATTTATACATGCATGTGGTAGATGTATAAAATGAGTAGATTATGTAAAGGCAATTAAAAAGATTTCTTATTTGATTAAGTATCTACGCGTAAATAAATTCCATCCTAATATTGTGATCATGTAGCTAAATTCGATCCGACTATATCAAGACAATCGACCATCGAAAGATGGGAAAGCATTTGCTAAAGGATTAGCCGCCTATCCCACTTATTTTCAATGGATCCATGGTCAAATTACTGCTATTTACACAAATAAACATGAACCAGAATGGGTTCTAAACGTTAAAAGGGGCATTATTAGCGGATTTATTTTGAATTATATACCGTATCAAACTCAATACTCCATTTCAGAGGTAAGCATCAATCTTAACCAATCTTTCGCTTTATTTTAGAATTATAGGTAGTTTGCAACTAAGATCGCTGCTAGTATTACCTCAAACACTACCATCTGCTCTATCTGCTCATATGTTAGCTTTGCTTAGACATTGTTGTAGCTATTTCTGTCCCTGTTTTCTTGTGGTTCATTCCAATTCAGTCTTCCAATATCTTACCTTCAATTGAATTCACGTTCTGAATACTAGTACCGTAATAAATTATGATAGCCATCCTTAGCGCGGCCTATCTGAAAGCGAGTAATCTTATGGCAAAATGCAATATAATTTAAAGTGGCACTTTGAAAAGATACATCGTCGTCATTAATACTACTTATAATTCTAGACGTGTTCGTCTTTATATTTGCATGAATATCTAGATGGAACTTTAGGTCAAGTTAGTGATTGCTTATAGCATTAAATAGAGTTTTGAAAAAGATATACCGTCGCCATTAATATTATTTATAGTTCTAGATGCGTTTATCTTTGTATTAGCATAAATATCTCAATAGAACTCAGTGTCGAGTTAATGATTACTTATGAAATTTAATTTAAAAATAGCGCTTTGAAAAAGATATGCCGTCAACATTGATACCGTACTATTTTTGGTTCTAGATGCGTTTGTATTTATATTTACCTGAAAATCTCAATCGAGCTCTAGGCCAAATTAACGATTGCTTATAAGCTATTTGTTACTTTCATCATTAGCAATGAATGACCCTTGAACTTAGTAGATGGAAAGTGTTTCAATGTTTTTAAATCATAACCTAGATTACCCACTTTAAGCGCGCCTACTTCGATTTATCTCTGCACTAGTCACTAATTTACCTCCAACATGTCTACGCTGTTTTCTATTTTATGTCATAGCCATTCATGGAGCTCAAGCTTAATAATGATGCTTCTGAATTAATTTAATATTATTCTAACTTAAGATCTTTCAAATTTTTGCAATTTGAAATTATATATTCGATTTCCCCTACCAGTGAATAAATATTTCTCCAAGACTTTTCTATTATTTGCTATCATTCCCTCCAGCTTTTACTAGCCATGTATCACGTACACTATACTGCTCATTATGGTGCTCTAATAATACTAAGGCTTAGTAGTGTTTAAAGTTTAAGTGTTTTACTCTTACTATTTAAATCGACCATTTCTTGAACTCTAAGGAGAAAACTGATCCATGATTGGCCAAAGTAAAGCTATTTTATTTTTTGCTGCATGAGACCTATAGAAGTCCTTGCCCTCTAAGTTCATGGCAGGGAGTATTCTCGCCCTATGGACATTAGATTTTAGTGTTAGAAATTTTGACGGAGCTGCTTGATATTAATGTAAGTTAATGCTTACAACCTGATACTTAAGCTATTACAACATAGCATAACAATAAACCTACTAAGCTATTTTCTAATCTACCTGACTTTTCTTCATATTAGTGTAAGTTAATGCTTACAACCTAATACTTTAGCTATTGTAACATAGAATAACAATAAACCTACTAAGCTATTCTCTAATCTACTTGACTTTCTTCTGATGCAATTATTTCATTCCATAATATCTGAATCGCGACTTGTTAATGTTATTGTTAGTTATAATGTATGCTGCTGGGCAAAGTTTTCTATACGATCATTTAATCCTCTATGACACATAAATCACTCCTTTCAAAATATTCTCAGCTATAAGATACACCATTAGATGGAATAACCTTAGCTGCAAATTACTCCTCTGTAATATCCAAGAGTATCGCTTTCGAGCTCTTATTAATTAATTAATCATACTGAAGTTAAGATACTGTTCAGACTTCTCGAGACAATTTTATCCATTTGGTTCGCTAATAACTAGTCGAAAGATATATTTCTGGATAAATTTTATATGTCTTTATCAAAGGAATAGACCTACTACAGGTTATAATCCACGTTAGTGATATATATAGTCATTATTGCCCATAGGTTACTCATCATAATAAATAAAACTAGGGCTTCTAAATTGTTTATACCTCCAATAAGATCATACAGCGTTGGTCAAAAGTATCCTTCATGTCCCAATTTTTCATTAAATGTATGCAAAATCATAGCTTTTAGACATTTATAGGTATGATGTATACAGTAAGTAGTTAGACAGAATAGTCTTTAGCGTAGTTTATAATTTAATAAGCAACGATAACCTTCGCGGTAGATTACTCTTCCTTGACATGTAAAGTTCATTGCTCTTCAATTTTTTCAAGTATAATATACATAGCTAAATAGAGCAATCTTTACTAATGCTGTCAATGCTTCCAATTCTACGTAAATCCATTGCTTATAAATCTCATTCCTGTAGAGAATTAATGGACATGGATGGACAAAAACATCCGGCTCTATAGATCACTCTTCAGCGATATAAAATAAAAATTATTGATTTTAAACAATTTTTAGCTAAAATTTATGATCTGGGTGATATTCTACTTCATATTTGTATACATAATTATGCTCATTAAAGACGAATATACAAGTACGAAATTTTTTATTCTATTTATTGCTGGCCAGGAATAGAATCGAATGGAGGATAGAATTAATTACACAACTAAACTATTAGTATTTATAGCACGTATAATCAAAGAGCTATGCCAATCACTACCTATTCATTTCTTGTTTATAAATAATTCATGACGCCGTCTTCATTAATTATATACTGTAATTGAAAAATTTGCCTTGCTTTTCATAAAGATATTTATGAATGTTTCTGTTTTATTTTTCAGTCCGATATTGATGGTACCTGTCTGACTAATTACACCATTAACACCGAAAAGCCAGGCCTAACTACTGTGACAAAATTTCGCGATGTTACTAATTGCAAAGGAAGAATTTTATCATCATCTTGCACTTTTGATGACATCGGTCGGGAGGTAATAAAAATAGCTGCGTAGCTTTTTATAATGTATACTTAATTTTGCCATTGTATACTTATCGAAATGATGAATTCCTACATGTTGACTAGAATTGTAAAGATCACTTCCAAGTAGCAGATAGTGCCACTTTCCAAATTACCAATAATAAAGGTGAAAATGGAATCATTAAAAGAAGTATCCGAAGAGAGAAATTTACCTTTGTACCATTTTCCAAGGATAAAGGATCAGTAGTGGTTGAAACGAGGTGCAGTAAAAATAAACAATCTTGGATAGGAATCTCTAGGAGAAAATAATAGTGCTAATTTAGAGCTAGAGTTCACGCTGTTTGCTACTATTTAGTAAAAAATAATAGTGGTACCAAAGAATATCTAAAATACGATCTGGTTTATCCTTTTATGATTATTTTTATTAGCTATTTCAGTAACTGACAGCGTCGGTATTGTAGCAATCGAACTAATTTTTGTAATCGTCGTGATATCAAAGACGATTTTAATTCAATGCTCTTCTTAATTGCTTTCCTATTAATTTAAAATAATTGTGCATCAAAGTTCTGGCGATAAAAATCGACACTACTGAAATAATATGCAATATATAACAGTTGGAAAGTTGGATAAATCGACATTAGCTAAGCCGATGTATCGGTATAACCAATCTATTGCATAGTTTAGCTTATGTTGAAGAATAGCAGTAAATAGATTTTTCTATCGGATTGATTTTATTTCTATATATTCTAATTCCAGTTCAGTCATGGATTCTAATCAGTACTCGTAGGCATTTTACGTCTTTTCAGATAATATACTTAACTTGTTGTTGATCGTAAAAAGGATTGGTAAATACTTCAATTTACTTTCTATGTATTTGTTATTGTTTAGACGGGTATTCAAGTATTTTGTCAATTATGCCCTGAAACACGATTTATCGGAACTTTATAAACTTCAGGGTAAGTTAATGTGATAGGCTTTAATTTAAAGCTGTTATGAACGTCTTACAATAATGATGAATAGATGGTCCAAATCACAATTCTATTCTTATTCTCTTTATAAATATTTCTATATTACCAGGTTAAAATGACAATATATAGTAAATTGATAGTTTAACTAAAGCTGTCCATCGTAGTTTTTAACTACTATAGCGCAGCGTAGTTCGTGCAATTGAGCCATTTCATGTATACCAATTTACTGCCTAACTGTTAGTGGTATGCGAGCCTATCTGCATGAACTTGCTTGTCCAATAATGACGGAGAAAGCTTAGTACTTTGTATTTTTGGTATTGCCGAACTGCTGGATACAAATTTGTGATTATTTTTGCAGCTATTACTGGCCACTGCTAGTCGTAGATCTCCACCCAACTATTAGAAACAAAAACAGCAAAGGAGGCGGGTATCGTCAGCAATAGTAACGTGCAATTGGCTAGTGCTATTTAATCGACATACGAGTACATGAACGGAAGCAATTTGATGATCATTAGTCATTCCATATACACTAATTCTTTCAATATATTCTAATAGGCCTATTAGCTAAAAAATAATAATAGAGTAGCCGTCTACTACTTAAATGCATTAAAATAATGCAACTATAGACTAGAGTTGGATCACTTACAAATGCAACTAGTCGTTCTTATTCAGTTTATTAGTAAATCGAAGAAATTTTAACTCTAATTCTTTTTTGTTCACGTTAAGCTTTAAAGCATTCTATTATTATTATAAATACCAGTAATACCCATTCATTTATTCTAATTAAATTCGGAATACCTACTGTTGTGATGTAATCAATCACGAACTCCCAAAATTCGTGTAAAATTAGAACTTTGATAGATCTTTATAAAGATCATCTGTACACAACTCCAGATTAGCCGGATACAATTACAAAAAAGATTTCTAGACAGGGCTAATAAATAATCTGAAGTTGTCTTTTAAATATTCTTCGCAACATTTGCAGGTATAATTCGCATAATAGTAGTAACCACATTTTAAAGTGGATCATCTATAATCTAGTATGGAAACTGCCATAGTATTTACGTAGATATTATTTCTACTAGCCAAAATATGATGAACTAATCATATCTTAATACATAAGTTAAATATCTATTGTTGCCTCTAGCATCAACAGTCCCCCGACACCCCTAATGTACATAGTTATCTGTATTCTAACATAGAATCTTCAATTGCAATCTATGGCTATAAGTTGCTAAATAGGGCTTATGATAAATATAGAAAGTTATTAACCGCGCATCATCTTAAATTTGGCTACTAGCCTACAATCCAATACAAAATTACGTTACAACTGTATAATCAGGCAAATTATATTATCTGTATTAAATTATGCTCTTACAAACGCAAAGTAATAGTATTAATAATGGGAATATTATTTTATTAATGCAGATGCAACCCAATATTCTATTCTAGGTTATCGACATCAAAGTTTAGCGATCAATTCTAAAATATTTAGCCATCATGAAAGGAATACCAAATTTCAGTTTCTAAAGGCAAGGCAAAATAATAGTAATTTATGACTCATTAAGCCAATATTCACTTCAAAAATTGTCCATCATGATTTATGTTCAAAACTACCTTATGAAACTAGAGTTATTCTTTTAATCTATCAGATTGATCGGTTATTAAGTACCATTGAAAGGGATTTAGCATCTAGCCAATTGCATGTACCCGAATCACGCGAATTTTTTAATTTAATTGATGAATTAAAATTGAGTGGCCATCAGAACCTGCAATATCTCATCCAGAGACGATATAGCAGACACTCTTTTAAGAGGTAACTAATGCTGTTGGAAGTTGATTTGCTAAATTAGCATTTATATTGCTCTTAAATTCAACTATTATCCGCATATCTAATGGCTTGTGCCATGCTTTCAATCTAGATCTCTACTACTTAAAGCTCTCCCTATTATTGGCACCGACGATGCAGCCACGGCAATCTTTCATTTAATGACAGAGAGTGATACAGTTCCCTACAATGTTCAGAAGCAATGGTTAGCCGCTTTGTCATTTATGAGTAGGCCTACCGCAAAGACCATCAAGACGATTACTGTAGGTTGTAGCTTAAAAAATTTCTACTTTATAAAGAAACTTTCCAAGTAATTCAGATATCTTGAACTTTACATAAATTGTTTATACCTAAGCGAGGAAATATTAATCTTTTTAAATATTTTATAGCTTACTAATATCAATAATTTTTCATTTGCTCATCTTCCTAATCCTGTAACTCAAATTTCGTTATTTACTTTGTTGCTTTAAAACTTGCTGACGTATGTAAATATTTTGTAAACTATGTACATTGTCAGTATCATCCATTTTCAACTTCTTCTTTACAATAATCTTCGAGAATTTATCTTATGTTAATCCTTCAGTGCATTATAACATTAATGCTACTATGTTCTTTAGCCATATTAGTAACAGACTAGATTTAATATATACTAATTCAATAATCCCGTGAATGTGATATTTCTGCAGCTGTAGGTATCGGACTAGTGCATTAGATCCTTTTAAAAATCGGTTTCATATAACAGCTTTGTGTGCTATTCTATCTTAAAACTATCCTTAAAATAGTATATTAATTAAGATTTCTTATCGTAATCGTAGCTGATTCTTATACTGCATTAATTATCCTAGACTTTGTGCAGGAAGAAACCCTATCTGAGAACTGAATGTACCTTGACCCTAGGATCAATAATCCACACCTTATACAAAAACCAAGACGAGCTCATGGATTATGTAAGCTTAAATTTACTAACAGGCCTTAATGATCTCCTTCCATTACATATAATTTTCATAACAGTATAATTATCGCTCCATAAATAACTGATGATGCCCCGATATATGAAAATAATACCCTAACTGCAACTCGTTAGTAAAGAGTCATTGGATATTAAGAAACACCTTTAATATTACAACTATAGACAATACGAACACAGGATTAGTAGTACCATTTCCTCATCTTGATAGGATAAGGGGCAGATTTAATGTATACTATTAGCCTTGCAATTCCTTCTTAGATTTTAATGTGACCGGATCGCGTTTCGACTTTTGAGTTATTACGATTTGATCATGATGCGATATGGTACTAATCGTTTTCATGGTGATAATAGCAGTGCTTTTCCTTTAAAGTATCAAAATCATCATTACCAAGTTTTAGATATGCTATATCTAAAGTGTATTTAAGTAATGCTAAAATGATTTAGCCATCGTTATAATGTAGTAGTATTTCTAACGCAAACCGTAACTTCCGTCCATGTTGTAAATACAAGAATCATTATCTGATATCTACCACGATAACGTTGCGTTAATTAAGCATCAAATTAGTTTATCATCAACAACCAGTATTGACGTGAATTTTTCTCTTTGTTGATAGTTATTTATAAGATAAGTACGAATCTATATGGCAAATGGATTATTCTTTAGCTTTTAGTATGAGCCATAGAAAGGCATTTTGCAGGGTGCAATATTTCCGTGTGTGACTGTCCAAAATGTTGATGTACCATACTTGTTCAGTTGCAATAAGCCTTCCTGTTCAGATAGGAATTTAGAATGTTTATAAATATCGCCTATTCTCAGGACGGTAGATATATGAGTTCTAAATATGAATGTATTGTAATCGAACTTGATATTAGGAATTACCACCATCAGCTTATCATCATCTTATAAAATCACTGGAGGATGGAATAAAGAATAACCAAGAAAAAGAGATCATGTTAGGATTGAAAGCGATAGCGAATGCTGGTCTTCCTGCAACTATTCGAGCATTAGTTAAGTGCATGGTAAGGTGTCCATCGACTGAAACTCGAACTATGGCGATTTATGCTTTGTGGAGAATACCTGCTCAATCTATTCCTAGAGAAGTAAATATCATGATATTCGAATATTGTCAAAATCCGTTGCCTAAGTGTGACACAAATCAACAATTAACGAATTTATAATCTCGATATCCCCTTTCAAATCATCTTTGCAGTTAATATCCTTCCTAGCTGATCTATATGAAGATAAAACGAATGCAATCGAGCTCCGAATAGCTGCATTTGTTATGGTGATGGAAACCAACTGTCTGGAAAGTGATTTACGTAGGATAGAATTAACGCTAAGAAATGAAAGTAATTCTTACGTTGGTTCATTTCTTCACTCTTATTTGCAAAGCTTGGCTAAGTCGAAGAGTCAATCAGCGCACAGAAGGTATTTAATAAATATATAAAAGATTTTATATATCTATCTGAAGTTAGTCATTTCCACTATAGTTAACAAAGTTGAATACAGCAAATACCCTATTTTAGTTATTTGTTACCGCTAATTTACCAAGTCGTTTGTTAACACCGTGGTGGTTAACGTATTTATTAGATGCAATTAAGTAGAGCATCAGTTAACATTGTAATGGCTTATACATTCTATAGCTGAAGAATTAAAGCACTTGTTTATATTGTTACAGTTTACATTCGCTACTGCTAATTTAGTAAACTACTTATCAATATTATGATAATTAGCATTGCTTTGATATGCTATCAATATCTAATAGACCAATAAATCGGGTAATGATTCAAGATGATGCTGTTCATATCATTTGATGAAACTAACTAAACGAAAATGTAGACTTTGTATTAAATTTAAGACCGTGATAACTAAAGTTTAAATACTACTGCTAATTAAGTAAAATTATTTGGTATGTAGAGCGATAGCTAATTCTAATTCTAAGTAGCTAATTAACCAAATCATTGATCGATACCGTAATGCGCTTGGATTTTTCGTCAATAGCTGACAAAGTAATACGTAAAGACATATTTTTCATGGTATTGACTTACAAATTATCTATATTGCAGGATTGCTTTGGCGAAGTATGCTTTAAATTTTACCAAAAAATTCAATAGTAACCAGCAAAGTTCAAAGGGATTTCATCATGCAATTTATTCAAGTACAACAGAATGATTTAAAAAATGTTATATTATAAAGTGAATTTATATTTCTAAAAGAATGGATAAAGTAGCTTGATTTAAATACTTGAAATAAGGTTATAGTTTTCCCAATATTTATCTGATATAATGTATAATTCTTTAGCCGCATGGAAAGTTGGACTTAGCTTAAATTCTCAGTTAATCTATGAAAGCGATAGCAAAATTCCTCGAGTTATTAAAGCCAATTTCAATTTTGAGTTATTTGGTCGTCGCATCAATGGCTTTGAGGTTAGAAATGGTCAATATTTAGAGGCTAAGTTATTAAATTAGCACAATGTATCATAGCATAGGATCTTTCGATTAGAGTAATATTGATATTAAATCAATATCATCGTATTTATAAAGACTAACTGGAAGCAACCTTAATAATTATAATCATTCAATTTTAGTTTGGTGTTCGTATCCAAAACTTGGATAGTATATTGATTGATATCCTACAGCGCCACCAAAATCGATATTTGCCCCTAGTGAATCACGAACAAAATAACGAAATATTATACGGTAGACAGGATGAGGTTGGTTTAATATATCGATAGAAATATATATTACGGCTTCTATTTACGTTATATCAATGATTGATTTGTTAAAAGGCGGATATACTCTTGACATAAGCTATCATCTAGCAATAGCTTTTAAGTTTCAAGGCAATTATCAGTTATTATAACATGTTTCATGAATAATCTTTAATTTTTCTGTAGACAAGTAAAGCCAAATTATGCAGCAAAGTTGCTGAACCGAAGTTGTCCAGTTATAGCGTTGTCTACGGCAGAGAGATTCAATTTCAGCATTTCAATCAAGATCAAATTAAAGGCCTAATGACTGGACTGCTATCAAATCAGGGGATCAATATAAACATTGATCAAATACCAACGTCATTTTCATGCCATGTTCAATTAGTGACGGGTTTAGGATTTCCACTCAAGATTTATCAGGATGGAATGACAGTTTCATCATTAAGAATCTCTACAGCTTATAATGTTCTCAAACAAAAAATGTCGTTAAGAACAACACCTAGGTAAGGCTACATATGATCATAGACATGGAGTAAATTACCGTATAATGGTAGCCAAGCAATAGATATCATTGAGAATGGCATCTAGGTATACTAGGTAAACGAATTCAAAAAAGAATCAAAATGTTATTCCTAGCTACACAGTTTATACTCGTATGCCATTAATTTAGTCAATCATCTCTTACCTCTGGCACTATATATGGACTTGTTACAACTTCCAAATTTTGTAACAAGTACTAGATCTGCACTCAGCAAGGAGACCCAGTAATTAAGTTGAAGAACTAACTTTATTGTTAAAATAATGAGTTTATATACTTTCTTTATTGTGACCTTTGATCTACTGGCGTAGATTACAAGCTCATCACTAAGAGAAAGGTTTCCCTAGTTTAGACATTACAAATAGAATATCATACCGAGTATGGCAACATGAGAATACATATATAGATAACCTTAATATAATACCATAACTACATCTATATACGCCTGACGTGATAACATCGTGATATTTAACCATATATAGAAAGAAGGTAACATACTAATTATGTAACTATCACAGAACGTGACAGGACTAATGTTATCATTCCATTAAATTGCACTTATTTAAATAGTTTTAGTGACAACTTTCAATTAAGCAATACGTTTTTCTTAAAAGATCGAAAATTCAATCTATGAGTGCAAATGTACTCCTATTTACTATCTAGATATTTACTATTACTATAAAGAGTAGATAAGATTCTAAGATTAAAATTATCGCCTGATAGGATATCTTAAATATTACAACAGTTTTTGAAATCAGAATAAAATGATTTACTCACCTATAGCTTAATATTGATCTCCTGATTGAATACTCTAGTATTGATACTCATATCCAGAGCAAGGTTTTCATCGATGCCACAATATTCCAGACTGGCTTTCAGATGAATAACTATTTATCCAATCATATGGATGTTTCAACGCTTATTCAGCCAGATAATTTTGGTAAAATGCATATATCATTTCGGTTTCCGCAATCGAAGTCGAAGAAATCGCAAGATATTCCATTTGATTTAAGGTTAACATAAGAAATGACTAGAATTTCATGAGCAGCATTATTTTTCTTCAGGTCTTAATCAAAGGTCATTTTAAAAATTTTGATTACATTTTCAATTATACTACTTAGTACCAATTTAGATTCATTCTATACCCAATCGGCCGATTCACGAAGACTTGGTACTACTTACATTTGTATCATTAATGGAAAGGCATCATCTGAAGTGAGTGATTTAAATATAGCAATTCAAGACAGTTTAAATGAATTTTTGTGCAGAATTAAAATTTGATTTTTAGTGAAATTTTATGCAATTGTATATTTCATTTGTTCACGTTGTGAGGGATGATTGATTATATATCACATCATGTTGTAATTTTAGGAGAATAATTGCCTATTTATTCCAGTATTATGTCCTCTATCGTACTCCGCTAAAATGGTTGGCTCTTCTCCTATACTTGGTCCAACTAGGACTAAATTAGCTATGCGTGCACTCAATGAACTCGGAGTTAATTTAGATTTCTCAGTCAAATGCCATCCAGTTCAACGTTATTGCAATATCTTTCTGCGCACAACAAGTCAATCCAAACCTATTTCTCAAATTTTGCATACTTTCGAAGCTAATATCAAATTGGATGCCTCTACTCAAGACCAATTGGATGTAACACTAACATTTCCAAATAGTTCCGTAGGAGCACAACGTATGAGGTTAACGCTGCCAATGCATATGGATCCATTATCACTTCGATTACCGCCATTAAAACCAGGTAATCGAGCATTATTCACTGTTGAATCTGTACACCATTTAAATACTTTAATCTAAAGCTAAATGATCGTAAAACTATCTAATGTATGACGAAAATATACCTAGTCGTTAAGAATAGAGATCATATCTACGCAATCATTTTGATAGACAAACTATGATTATTCTAAGGGAATTTTTATTTTTATTCTCTTTATTCATTCAGGTTGTTTCGCTCGAAATTGGACAGATTGGACAAATTGCTCCACTAGTAGACCATGTTCCCGCGGTGTGCGAAGTCGATTCCAAACAATCAGTTGCAATAACAATATTGCAAGCTGCCAGCCACGTGTAGAAGAAATGAGTTGCATGAATTGTGGTAAGATTAGCATATTTTATGAACAAATTAAATTTTAGAAAATCTTACTTAAGCTAAACCGGTGTAGTGTAATGTAAGAGTATTTCCCCGAGCATTACCACTCGCACGATGGATAGTAATGAAAAAAGGTTATGATTTGTCAAATACTAAGCATTCTCATATCTACTTATTCGTCGTTACCTGAAATACAGCATAATGCATTTGAATAAACCCTAGCTAGCTTAATGATTACTGTACTACTACAGAAGTTACTCAATTTTTTGATTACGACAATCATATAAGTCTGATAGCGCAGACTTGCTACGATTTCTCTAGGATTGCTTGAGATTTCGGAAGCTGCTTATTCAATTCTTATGTAAATATGACTTTGTCTTCCGTGATTATAATTGATTTTTGGTTTGGTTGACATAGAAGATACATGCTTTAATCTCATTTTAGCTAATGGCAGTAGCTAATATGTCCTATTTGTATTTCTTATTCTATATTACGGCATATTCGGTATTCAGCAACTTTACCGAATATTAGTCTTTAGATCTTAAAAATTATCTTACAGGTACTAACATTGTGCTACAAGCATTTCAATAGTTTATTCCACACTCCCATACAGCATACTATCATTTATAGTGTATTTTATTGCCGTAGTTCTAATTCTTTTACCTATTTTACGCGTAACGCTGCAAATCTAGATCGAATATGGGATCTTTCATAGTACGATCAATAATATGTCATTCTATATGTATATATATATACCAGTATTCAAACGTGACCAAAAAGTTAGTTATGTCCTCAAAGTGCACCCATCAATATGCCGATTATGTTCTTATATGCTAATTCTTATTATAGAATGTAATGTTCATCGAGGCATTTATACCTACAAACGAAGTGATTACTTTTGTAAAAGCATCAAAAAAGTACCTCAATGTCAGACTGGCTGTCTACCTGCAGCCACCCAAAAAACAACAGTTCAAATGTTGTGCAAGACAAGAAGAGGCTACCAATACACCGAAGTTGCAGATTACCGCTATCCTATTCGATGTGGATGCAATAAATCCATTTGACAGTCCAATACTTGACTAATAGACAGTATTCGTTCGCTATGTTAAAATATTTACTATTTCTAACATAATGAATGATAATTCAGTCTTTTAAATGACAACATTATACCTAAATTTTATATACATACGAATAGAATACAGATAAGTCAGTGCCAAACTCATAGATGTAGCATTTTAATTCATGATAAGTAATTATACTCCTTATGCCTTAATGATGTTGTGCTCTGGAAACCCAGCTTATTGGGCCGGTGTCAACTGAAAGAATGTACGTAATGTTCAGGCATGAAGTAATTTAAGAGGTTGAATCAGCTTAGGATAGGAAATAAAATTATTGTTATATAGCAAATTTACAGCGAAATTATGATTATCAATTTTAATTTTATCATGAATCATTCACCAAGTTAGAAAAGAAACTGTTGCCTAAATTAAATTTTATTTTATATGGCAGTATTTCACATTGATAAAGACCTTCAATATTGCATTAATTTGTTAGCAAAGATAGATATACTGTAATGCAGCATCATATTAATCATATTCATAATGTCCAAAATACCCAGGAATACATAATAAAGTTAATGGTACTGGTTGTTAATTTTAGATAATGAGTTAAGCACCCAATACAGTATCCAGTATCTATGATTACGTGAAAAGTCTCGTGAAGATAAAAGAAAATTTGGCATTTTATAAAGTTTGCGGAATCAAGTGAAAATGACGTATAGAACATATCAATCGGAACGATATGTGCCACATAGAGTAGTCTAATACGTAATGATTAACAACATTTTTAAGAGCTATACACACTAGATCAGGATAAATAATATCTCGGATGATAAATATTATTCAAATCATATTTCTATAGGTTACACGGATAATTATAAAAATAATTACCAATTTGCGTAAATCTATGATTTAACTGACTAAAACTAAACGATATGATACCATGGAGTTATAACTATAACGATTACAGAATACTCGGGTGTGCAAAAGCATGAGATAATTTTACTTTCATTACTATTATAAAATAGCTATATAATATGACAGCATAAATACATATCAAACTGTACAGCATCGGCTGTAATTACAACTTCAATTTAAATAATAGACTGTTATGACTACAAATATATGTGAAGCACTCTTAACGTAAAGTTTAATTATTCATCGTGGTAAAGTACGGCAAAACTATTAACACAATACTAACTAGGCAGATTTTCGTATACAAATAACTATTTTACCATATTCTGTTCTGTGAGATTTAATACAGATTAAGTTCATATACAGTATAGCTATAGTCGCAATATCAATAATATCATTCAATGTATGTCATCTCAAATATATTGTAACATCTTTCGATCAAATTATAACCCGAAAATATCAAATAAAGTTAATCGGAGCTATACATACAAATATATGCATCTTCAAATAATCGCCGTAAACGATCTGGTACATTCTCATTTAAATAGCCCTCACAAGCGTATCTATGATCACTTAGCCACGTTGCTACATCGTCTAATCTTTCTACGCGGGGAATATTGTAACCAGTAACTAGAAAATAATAAAAAAGAAATAGTGTTTGACGTATTTATAAACATTTACCAGATAATATGTTTTAAAGCTTCGACTTACTATCACGATCAAACATGCTGTCATAGAAACACCAATTCGAGTCGACTTTGTTACCACAGCGAACAAATGCCACATAGTGGGATATGGAGATACAAATAACAGCAAATAAATTCAGTTGAATTCTATGATTGTTGTTACAATCATTTGTTTGTGGCCTATCTATATCATGCTCAGATTGTAATTTGATTAATGATTTTAGATCATCCGAGTGCATCCTACGTCCAGAATCAGAATGAACAATATCGTAACAGCATTCGCAGTAGGAAACATGAGCAAATGACTTTTCGAATAACTTTTCTTTTCGACATGCTACACATTCCAACTTTGCAATTTTACCACATATAAGGCAGCGACGAATGTCTGAAGAGAAAATATAGTAATTCATCATATATTTATCATTTCACATCGATAGATAGCATTTTAAGGACATATAAGAATGGAAATTGAAGTACGATCATTTTTTTGATTATTTCATCAACTTACAATTTTCCATCTGATCAGAAATATCCAGGGTAAGATTAATAAAAGTTTTATCAAACATCTTATCTTGACCGTTACGTGGTAATTGTAATATTAAACAACTTGGTTTCTACATAATTACAAGTAAAGAATTAGTAAGCTGAGTCAAAGTGAGATCAGTCTATTAATATTAAAATTTCAGTTATACAAGGCATTAAGCTGACCTTAGCAAATTTAATATCAGAAAATATCATGGACTTTTCATACAAATTTTGCAGCGTCGGCATTGTTTCTCTTGGATCTCTTACACCAAGAATTTGAAGAATATTGCCATCATACGAATTGTTTGTTGATCTGAAATGCGACAAGTACTAAATGATCCTGTGCTATTTACATGATTTAGCTATAGTAGTCTTTAAAATAGTTGATTACATAAGTTTTAATTCCAGCAATGGCTTCTTTGGCCACAGGAGATTCATTAAAAAATTGATAAATTCCTCTGGATCTATAGTTTAACGAAATGTAAATCCAGATATCGCTGAAACTCTGCTTACACGTGTGCAATACGGATCTAAGTCAATTAGATGTGCGGCATACACCGAAATTTAATCTTAGGGATTAATAAGTCCGTTTACCTTTTTCTTGGTCAAGTACACCTTTTATCTGGCCAGTAGCTTCCAAAATCTGCCTAAATCTAGCCACACGATCAGCTCGAACGAAACCATGGCTTTAAAAAATCATCGTACATACAAAGTAATTGTTATAAATTAAACTGGATTTATCTTGTCATTTACACGAAGATACCATGATATTTATTACGAAATCTTTGCATCCTTATTAATAATAACAACGACCGTTTCCCTTCAATACTGTACCTTCTTAAGCAATTAACAATTCCACTACTTAGGCAACCCTGAATTTCTTTTAAATTTTCGTCGGCGTTAGAAAAATTTTCGGGTTGTAGCATCTCGTCGAAATTAGAGCTACAGCAAAACATACTAAATAGTGTACAGTCCAGGTAACAGGAATTGTTATGACCTTGAATCCCTCGATTATCACCATACATAAGAGCTGAAAGTGAAGATGGTGGCGGAATGTAATCTTTTACTATTGGTGAATCGAAATCTCCGAAATCTAAAAAATGTGTACAAAGCAATACTATACTTAAATTTATATGTTACATTAAAGTAATATATGAGATGATTAGAAATAAAAATACAATATTTACGAAATGCCCTACTTTGTCGAGCACGTTCATCAACTCTTAGGTCAGATGAACGATTAGATTGTATAGGTCTGCACATGTTTAACGGGACAATAACTTCTTTGCTAGTCTTAGAGTATATATACTTAGCCACAGCTGTAATCAACTCTTGACCATAAATTGCTGATTCCTAATAAATAATAAATATGCGATCGATAGAAAAGATAGTAATAATTAATCTTAATGATAAATGTAATGGTATTGATATCAGAAATGATTTCAGTTAAGGATTAAAGAAGGTATGTTTTATTTCCAAATTTATATACTTTGTGCTACAATACTATACGGAGGGAAATGCCTTACTTTCTCGAGCTTAACAGTGACGAAAATATTGACACCATCATTAATCGAATGGGATAGTTTTTGACGTTCCATGAAATCAAGTTCATCTAATGTTCGCATTTTAGTTACTTCCCCATATTTATTATTGCTATCCAGGATCGCGATACGCTTACCAATTGCAACTGAATCTAGTAGCTGTAATGTTGATTCGGTGGTAATTGAAGATGCCTCTTGGTTTGATTTCACAGATTGCTTTTTAGTTTCTGTTTTAATCGTATTATTATTACCGCCTTTAGAAATATTTTTTCGACGCCAGACATCTTCTGGTAGATTTTCCAATCTACTCGATTTAAAATCTCTTGGAATGTCAATATCGGTACTGCCTTGATAACTTCTAATTTCATTGACCGATTCGCTATTATCGACAAAGATAAAGTCATACGGCACAACAACTGTGTGTTTATCTTTATTAGATAAACCTGTCCGACGTATCTCATAAATGTGTCTTAGTTCAATCTATTGTTATAATTAAAAAATAGAAATATTGCATGTAATTGTTGCAATTATGTCAACGTTTTATTTGTTTTGAAATCTAGAACTTACCACTTCGATGACCGCTTCATTACTTTCAGTGCGACAGCTAACAACAGTGCCACGGTAAAGTGTGCTATTTAAAACAACCAATACTGGATAACCATAGTGAAGGTGCTGTGGATTAACATTAGTAAGACCTTTCGTAACCGTGATAACGTTTGACATGGATTCAGGCCGGCTGTTACTTTTGCTGTTAGCTGCCGTCGCAATACCACCATATAGACTTTGATCAACCTATTCCATTCATTGATACGAATAAAATTTTTTGAACAAAAACATATGATTAAAGGCGTCATTGTGACTATGTCACTGCAAGTAACGTAAATTGAACGTTTTCAGATATTACTAGACATACGCTAGGGGTTACACAGAAACGGATTAAAGACTGCTAGCAAACCTCACGAATTTTAGGTTGATTATTCCTTGTATTATCCGACGTCACAGATATTCCCGTCTCCTATTTTTATAGTGAAGGTATACAAATTATGTTATTATGTATATATAAGCAACATAGTTGTAATTCAATCGCATGCCAATGCTCATGGCGGTCCTTTGTAATTAAGCAATGATTCTCTACCTTTGATCGCTTCAACATTCTTTGTACTTCAGTGTCATCTATCGATGAACTCGGAAGTTGCCGTGAGTATGAGTTGTTATCCCCAAGTCTTGGTAAAGTTTTACTACGTTCATATTGCTTGACATGGTCATTATATTGCGTTCGTAGGCTTTCCTGATGAGTTAAATTTTCAGCATGTCTTGTTGCCTATCGAGCATGTGTCAATCAATAAATAGTAAGTATTGATCGCTACTGTATGAATTATGTAAATATTAGAATAAATTTATATGTTGGTGTAAGTATACTACTAGTACAGCTACTAAAGTAATGTTTCGAAGAATCACCAGCACAATTAGTTGAGGATAATATTACTTAAAAGTCAGTACATGTAAAGCAATACTTGGATGATATGTTGACCTTAAATACTATAAACTACTGCTATTGTGTACGATTATCCTATATAGTAGCTGAGGTCTAGTAAAGTAGCATCATTATTTTTTGTAAAGTGCAAAATGAAATGGTGCTTAGCATAACGCGATGAGTAAGTTGAGCTAAAGGTATGAATCGATAGTAGTCAACATTATATTACGAGTACATTATGCGCAAGCATTGTCAGCAAGGGCTATACTAGTCCTTGAAATAGTTCAAATTGTTTCAACTAGATTAGCCTACGTAGCAGGATTGGAGTGTAGTGATACACCCATATTTGAAATACGGTTAGCTATATTTGATATAGTTAGGTTGCTTTGAATAGATATGACCGTGAAGTTAATATTAGATGATTGCTAACTACTATATTAGAAATTGTTGATGACTAATAGTAGCCAGTTGACTAATTATGGTACAAGATTTATCTAGCTAGAAACACTGTAATTGTTAAGATGCTCTTCGAAGAAAGGGGCTAGACGTTAATAGAAGAGTAGTGACATCTTAAGTAAAATGATTTAGATTGTAGAAAATAATAATGTACGATTAGAGAAAAGTGTTTTGTTTGATAATCAATTCCTGTCTGATTGTTGATTAATCAAGTTGCTATAAATGGATTGAAGGAAAGGTTTCTAAGAAGTGTAGAGATGAGCTCACAGAAGAGAAGAGACTTCACTTCGCTTTGAGGTCGGAATACTTTCGATTTTAGACTAGATTCTTGTAGTAATTAATTATTGCTCTGCTATTGCTAAAAGCTTGTAATAAAAGCCTTTTAGAAAATACCGTTTGACTAAGATAGTTATTGTCAGACACATTTATTACATGGAGCTAACATTTTCATCGACTTCCATCGTCCTACGAGGTATTTCAGGGTATGCCATGGGAAAGATTTGATCATTGCGGTTGCGATTACGCGTACATAAATTATCAGCATCAGTTTTATCCAAAGTTTGCTCGTCATTATAATTATTTATTTTGCTTGAATGTCGTTGATTTTGATCAGTCTGAGACTTGGTAGCACTTAAAAATACAACTTTATCGGCAGGAAAGTCATACAATCTTGCCGCCGTGTCAATATCATGGATAGGCTAAAATAGTGGAGCAAACAAAGATTAAAACACACTTACTATGAGCAAAACAGTCAATGGTGAGAGCAAATGAATCAAATAATAATTACTTAATAATTTTTTATTTGCATTCAAAACTGACTGGTAAAGTAATTTACTCTACAGTAGAATAATAACGGTAGTGTGTCACTTTTATTAGAGGTCAAAGTTTCAGGGCTAACATTAAACTTACCTCCTACTGTATTTAACATTCATTCGCTAGCAACTACGTAGCATTTGAATACATGTAGTCAAGCTGCAAAATAATTGAGGGATCCTAGTTGCATGACGATACTAACTATCTAAGGTTAGCCCTATACAGTACATACAGTAAGATCGAGAAGTCTATTGGTGATAGAGCTTTCGATCAATAGGTAGAAGGGTTTATGGACAATATAATGAGGGATCCTAGTTGCATGATGATACTAACTATCTAAGGTTAGCCCTATACAGTACATACAGTAAGATCGAGGAGTCTATTGGTGATAGAGCTTTCGATCAATAGGTAGAAAGGTTTATGGGCAAGAGGCAGGAAAATAGCCGTTTCAAAAGTAGAGTCAATTGTAGATTGGCCATTAGCATGTTGCAGATCGAGTTTTAATATTTGTATTACCTGACTGACTCGAATGACTAGATGCATCTTTTTATTTTTGGCCGGCAGGATATCTGAGATTTGATAAAGTTGGTATAAATGTTTGCCATGAGTGATATCAATCCAATCACCAATTTCAGCATTGATCACTTTATCGAGTGTTTCTGTATATACTTTCTGTCGTTCGTTCACATCGCGAATACCAAGTAATATAGCAGCTTCGACGATAGATAGACGGTTAGTACAATGATCTATAACTTTACCCACGGTTTTAATTATCTTGGGTGTCTTGAGGCTTTCGATCTTCAATTTAAGTTGATATGGTGATCGGAAATTTCCTGCCTGATGTAATCGATAACCTCTCCTGGTCGATTGATCCATGGATAATATATCGCCAGGTGAAATAATGTAATGATTATAACTGGCGGTGTCAACTACAGTAGCTATCGTTTCAAACGCTTCTATTACATAATAATATTTTTTCCCATTGGCAATGCGTTCCAATTCATCTTTATATCGATTAGCGGCCATCTTGAAAGAAGTGAAGTAGGACTCTTGCCTGTCGACTACAAGCTTTGGGATGCTCGTCTATCGTGACTGGTTGGAAAGACTTTAATGCCTGTAGTAGAACGCCATGATGGTCATCATTACTTTCTTTTTAGTCTGCATTGGAGGAGCAAAGTGGGTCTCTTTTTCTAGTCTAAACTTGTACAATAATTCAATCGTCTATCAGTTGGTTAGCAGAATACAAGAACAAATGATAGGACAAGCTCTTCTCCTATCTTGACCTTCTCGATCAAAGCAAACCGTTTTGGAGAATGATTTTGATGGTGAATTGCGTTCTTTTTCAATCGCCAATGGAAACGTTTGAATAGTGGATTTGAATGCAACACGGTGTTAATGTACCCCCGAATGATCCAATAATATCCTTCAAGCTTTTTCAAAGCTTATTGATACAAGCATGGATAGAGATCCAATTCGTTGCCTAGTGTATTTTTCCACCCAGTTTGTCTATCCAATCCAATCAAGTTGTAACAGTAAATCAAATCTACCGGAATCAATTTCGACCACTAAGTTCAATCCACTGGGTAAATCCCCATACAGTAGCAATAGCAGTCCCTGCTGTCTTCCTTACCCTACTCAGTGCATGCTTGGCGTAGCAGCCAATTGCAACCACTTCCACTAGTCCCCCGCCCGATCGTCAACATCAAGACTATGTGGAACATCTTGGTACCGGACCTGGTACTGTGCCCAACCGAACTCCATGGAATGATGTCATATCATGTAGTATCTCGACATTGGTACTCTATCAGACTTGATTCTGCCTGCAGACTTTTCTAAATTATCCTCCATGCTACTGCTAGCTTTCTCCAACTCCATGCTACTTCTTTCCTCGCTGATAGTACTACTACCCATAAAGAGATGCAAGAAAATATCATTGACATATTTCTACCAGTCCATGCTCGCTCTTTAGCAGTTACTGATAGTACTACTATCCATAAAGAGATAGAAGAAAATATCAGATATACTGTATATTTCTACAAGTTCATGCTAGTTCTTTAGCAGTCGCTGATAGTACTACTATCCATAAAGAGATAGAAGAAAATATCAGATATACTGTATATTTCTACAAGTTCATGCTAGTAGCAATCGCTGATCGTACTACTACCCATAGAGATACAACAAAATATCAGATAAACAGTTTATTTCTACAAGTTCATGCTAGTAGCAATCGCTGATCGTACTACTACTCATAGAAAGATACAAGAAAATATCAGATGTACAGTATATTTCTACAAGTCCATGCTAGCTCTTTAGCAGTCGCGCTGATAGACTACCACTCATGGAGAGTTCCAAGAAAATAGCAGATATATATGCACAGCATTCAAGTTTATGCTCGCTCTTTAGTACTCGCTGATAGTACTACTACCCATAGAGAGATACAAGAAAATATCAGATAGATATGTATATGTGACAGTCCATGTAATTGCCCAGACCCTTACATGGACCGTTGGCATATACCAGTTCATGCTCGCTCTTTATTAGTCACCGATAGTGCTACTACCCATAGAGAGATACAAGAAAATATCAGATATAGTGTTTATTTCTACAAGTTCATGCTAGTTCTTTAGCAGTCGCTGATAGTACTACTATCCATAAAGAGATAGAACAAAATATCAGATATACTGTATATTTCTACAAGTTCATGCTAGTTCTTTAGCAGTCGCTGATAGTACTACTATCCATAAAGAGATAGAACAAAATATCAGATATACTGTACGTTTCTACAAGTTCATGCTAGTAGCAATCGCTGATCGTACTACTACCCATAGAGGTACAACAAAATATCAGATATACAGTTTATTTCTACAAGTTCATGCTAGTAGCAATCGCTGATCGTACTACTACCCATAGAGATACAACAAAATATCAGATATACTGTATATTTCTACAAGTTCATGCTAGTAGCAATCGCTGATCGTACTATTACCCATAGAGATACAAGAAAATATCAGATATAGTGTTTATTTCTACAAGTTCATGCTAGTTCTTTAGCAGTTGCTGATAGCACTACTACCCATAGAGAGATACAAGAAAATATCAAATGCATATGGCTACAAGTCCATGTTACTTCTTTACTCGCTGATAGTACTACTACCACCCATAAAGAGATGCAAGAAAATATCACATACATATTTCTATCAGTCCATGCTCGCTCTTTAGCAGTTGCTGATAGTACGCCGTAACAGTACTACTACCCATAGAGAGATACAAGAAAGTATCAGATGCATATGGCTACAAGTCCATGCTACTTCTTTACTCGCTGATAGTACTACTACCTATAAAGAGATACAAGAAAATATCAGATAAATATTTCTACCAGTCCATGCTCGCTCTGTAAACTCTGCTTGTTACCTTGTAGTTCGTAGGCAATCCTAGATATCGTACAATACTATTTACGGCTTATCTACTATACTAGATTAAGATCATATGTTATAAATGTTCACCTGCATTAGGATATGGTATTAAAGTTATGTTCGTACTAGAGCTGATTTGTTGTCACAGTTCTTACGTCTAGTTAACGTGTGTATGATATCGCGCTTGGCATGTACTTCCAATAAAGTAGACTAAAGGAAAGCTCAAAGTCTCAGATTCTTGACCTCGTTACAAGTACTACTACCCATAGAGATACAACAAAATATCAGATATACTGTATATTTCTACAAGTTCATGCTAGTAGCAATCGCTGATCGTACTACTACCCATAGAGATACAAGAAAATATCAGATATACAGTTTATTTCTACAAGTTCATGCTAGTAGCAATCGCTGATCGTACTACTACCCATAGAGATACAAGAAAATAAATATCAGATAGAGTGTTTATTTCTACAAGTTCATGCTAGTAGCAATCGCTGATCGTACTACTACTCATAGAAAGATACAAGAAAATATTAGATGTACAGTATATTTCTACAAGTCCATGCTAGCTCTTTAGCAGTCGCGCTGATAGACTACCACTCATGGAGAGTTCCAAGAAAATAGCAGATATATATGTACAGCATTCAAGTTCATGCTCGCTCTTTAGTACTCGCTGATAGTACTACTACCCATAGAGAGATACAAGAAAATATCAGATATATATGTATATGTGACGGTCCATGTAATTGCCCAGACCCTTACATGGACTGTAGGCATATACAAGTTCATGCTCGCTCTTTATTAGTCACCGATAGTGCTACTACCCATAGAGAGATACAAGAAATTATCAGATATACTGTATAATTTCTACAAGTTCATGGTAGTACGTTAATAATCGCTGATAGTACTACTAGCCATAGAGAGGTACAAGAAAATATCAGATATTAAAAGCTGCACTATAGCTGAACACCTTTCAACCAGTATACAACTGTTGGTTGGATAGGTTTTAGCCGCGGCCCGGTAGAGGTAAAAGAAAAAAGACTTTTTCTTCCCATAGATAGAACTCAGTCATAGTAACCCCATTACTCATGCTCACGTCAGTTGAAAGCACAGTAAAACCACACTGGTATTGAGAGCAGAGGATAGCATGTTAATAGGGACTTTGGACAGGAATTTTCTCTTTTTAGAAGTTCCTGGTATTGATGACCAGAGGGCCAGGCGAAAAAAAAAAACTCCATGCAATGGATGATTTACTATTGTACTAGATGCAAATTTTCCTGTATTATTTCTTAATGTCACTAAAGAGCTTAAAGGCGATGATAGCGAAATCCTTCATAATTTCTGCGAGAAGCTTGAAGTGTAATTTTCACTAATTCTAATCACTAATTAATTGTTATGCCTTCCCTCTCGGTCATCGTTTCGTTTCTCTCTATGAAAGTAAGTAACGATGACACAGAGAGAATTATGCGGTAGCTACAGTTGTAGGCTGAACATACTGTAATTTATTAGACGAACCAAGTTGACGTAATAAGATGATACATCATCAGAATTACTAGTTCTTATTCTAATAGTTTGATTTTTATCATCACTAATGAATCTGTAATATGCAAGCAAACGAAATTAGAAATTGCTTCAGTACGATGCTAACCTAAGTAATGAACTAAATCATAATAATTCAATACAATTCGCAGTGGAACAACAGAGGGAATTGGACGTGATATCGTTCAAAACTTCCCGTAAGAAATGTTACTCGACGTAGAGATTGTACTTTAGGAGTTTAATGCGCCATCAAGCTGTAACCTTTACTTTCTATACGAAACCTGCTGAGTGGAGGTTTCTTTGAAGCTGAATATACGAGAAAGAAATAAAAGGGATGAAAACTTTCAAACGGTATATTCTTAACTGAGCTTGTCAATTACATTAGAATTTCAAGTAGTCATTTTGGTATCATGGAGCCAATTTCACATTATAAAATTAATCTGCTTGTGCAAGATGAAGTGGAGTCTGTACTGTAACTACTTTATTCATTAATGATAGATCAATAGTCCACTATTCAAGTTTTCTTTCAGTTTCTACTTCATTTCCATCGCTACTCAATATTTGCGTATAGTATATAATGTTGCAGTTGAGTGCGGGTATAACTGGTAAAGTGTTCAAAATGGAACACAATCGTAAGTTAAAGCTAGAGTTTAGTAATACCACCTATTTTGGCCTCCGTCATGGACTATTCGATAATAAAAGCGATATTTCTAGTGCAGTAGTCCTTGCCTTCGTCAAGCAAAATCAAGTTCGTTGAATATCAAGCACCGTGGTGCGTATTCACATCATTAATGGATAATTTATTACCGTTTTATACGCGTACATACACAAATATGAACCGGCGGCCATCAGTTGCTTGCTAGTACAATATTGATATGCACTATAATAATATTAATCACAAATATATTATATAGCATTTTGGAATAGAGAAACAATAGTGCAGGATAATTTTACATTAATTGCCTCTATTTGCGTACTAATTCAATTTTAACTTGGTAGAGCACAGGCATGCTAATAAATTACTATTGCAAATTTTCATCAGGCAATTTAAACCAAAATTTTAAATAATTCATGCTACTGAATGCTTGATTGCAATTATCACAATGGATGTCTTTGTACTGAATTTTTTGATCTTTACTTGCTTCTAAGGTGTTGATAACATTGCCTAGATTAATAAAATTATTGCAAACTTTTTGCTTCATTTCATCGTCAAGATGATCTTGATTAGTCTGACAAATGCATGGACATAAAAAATAAAGTGAATACTGTTTTTTCATGCTAGCATTCCATTTTTTAAGCAATTTTACAAGTTGTTTTTCAACATGAACTCGTGCTGCAATTCCAATCCCGTTGGTAATCATTTTATCATCAATTTCTCGTTTGGATTCATTCTTATTCACTGGACGAAATAATATCTGTAATCCAACATGAATGCCTTCTTTTTTTATTATTAAAGAAACTTGCGTAGCTATGGAATAGATAACGCAATTTCTATATAGCTTGGGGTTGGTATTCCATTTCCGTAAGCAACATGTTAGTAAACGATAAAATGTAATATCAGGTATTTCATCTTTGAACTTTATCTTTAACCAAACAGATTGTATGCAATCTTGTGGATATAATTCCTCATCTGTTGGCAAACTAATGTTACTCATGGTACATGGCGCATAATAATACTTGGCTTTATCTTTATGCCGCCCTTTAGCATTAGTTTCTTTACCCGATTCTTTACTTTCTGCTTGACTGCTTTGCTGACAAATTAAGTCAAGATGTTGCATCACAGCTAAAGCGATATCTTTTCTCGTA